TACTATTCCAATTTCAGTGACTTTTTATCCCAACTTATTTCGTGACAAAAATTCCCTTACGAATCATAGGGAAGTTTACACAAAACAAAGGTAATGAATGTTAAGATTTGTAAAATATCATTTCAGAATGAGTAGGTAATTCTTTTTGAGAATAAGAATTACTTTTGAATCAATGTCAACTAGTTAACTGGACTAACTAATCAATAAACATTAAGAAAACAAATGAGATAATCAATTTGTGATAGTATAGTTAATCAATAAATGATCATTACAAATAAACATGAATTATAAGAAACATATGAAACGTTGTCACTAATACAATGACACCAAATGAAGACAAATTTTGAGTATAGTCAGTAAGATCAATTGCTTATTATTATTACGACTGGTTCTATCGATAGAATCATTGTTACGATTATAGTGAGCAACTTGATCAGTTGACTGGAATTACCGTTGATGCAAATCTCATAATGAGATCTATATAAATTCTCAGCTCGTTTAGCTTTGACTTAACTGTAACTGTTCACTTGAAGGTATAAATCCAACCAGTCGATTATTCACTAGCTTTGATTCATAGGTCGTTTCTATCTTACCATGTTACCAATTTTATACTATTCATACGAACTTCCTACTGATGTTAATTAATATCACTATTACTAATAATTTTTGTAATCCATTTAACGTCTAATCATTCAATTTGGAACTTATGGCTAAGGGAGGGAAGGGGCAATGGAAACATATGTTTTGAAACTTATTCATCATAACAAACTTGATATCCAGTAAAGAAGTCTAAGCACACTATACTTCAAATAATGTGATTTATACTGAAATAAAGAACCAATCTTAGTAAGACAATTGCTAGAAACTTGGGATTACTGGACAGCTGTTATTTTCTCAGTATGCGACTCATCAGCAGTGCGTGTCCACGACTCTAAAGCTAGGAGTCGAGTTCAGGAATTTCATTCATGTGTGCGAGCGCTCTAAGCCGAGATCCTGTGGTGTACAGTGACCAAGAGGTCAGACGTTAGGACAAAAGATCGAAGGTCCTAGGTTTGACTCCTTCTTTCCATTGGTCGCCTTACTCTGATCTATTCAAGATATGAATGAAATTCAACAATCTCCACAAACTCATACTGATAATGACGTCTACTTTGCTAATTTGTATTATGAAAAATTACTTAGTTAGCTTGACCAATTTGTTACAGTGTGGATCCAAGTCGTCTTTCGTAACCATTTTCTCAAGGATTTTATTATTAGTGTGTCGATTCACCTAGACTGGTGGCCACATTGCAACATGGTCGATAGCATTCGATCTGCACTAAATAAGGATTTGACACACATGACATTGATCACCACCCAGTGATCAATCAATTGTGATTACATCTCAATCCTACAGGAGGTCGGTTGTGGGCCGGATAGCTCAGTGGTAACGTCTTTGACTGTGAAGCTGGGTGACACGGGGACGAATCCACCAGGGAGCACCAGTTCCTTCAAGATTACAGGTACACCTTGCTGACGAGTGCCAAGTAGCACGAAACCCGTGTTCAGAGTTTCCTGTCGACTACCTCCAACCACCATCTAAGCGTCATACATCTCTAAGCTATCTCAAATGACGAAGATTCACTAGTTCACTAACCGATTTTTCACCTTTACATAATACTCTATGCTTTATCAGTAATTATTGAATCGTTTTACACTAAGAGATTAACACTTCTAAAACTTTAGTTGTACATTTCTAAACTTATTATTATTATATTCTTTGCTTATAATGCTTGTAAATTAAGACAATATCGAGGCATACGCACAGTATGCACATATGCCAATAAGAGACTGATCAATTTCAGTCCTAAAACATCAATGGAAAGATTCAAGTAAAGCAATATCAAGTGAATTAAACTTCAACCCATTGCACAAGCAAGTGGCTATCAGGACTCAGTAGCTAAGTGGATAACGCGATGGCGTTTGAAGCGAACGGTACTGAGTTCGAGTCCCAGAGTGAATATCAACTCTGAGATACAGGTAGATACAGCTGATGAGTTCGAAACAGGGCGAAACGCGCGTTCTGGATTCCACTGCTAGCCACTATCCATCTTTGCTTATAACGCTTATAAATTAAGGCAATATCGAGGCATACGCACAGTATGGACATATGCCAATAAGAGACTGATCAATTTCAGTCCTAAAACATCAATGGGAAGATTCAAGTAAAACAATATCAAGTGAATTATTCTATTCTCTGTCTTGTTTCTTATTTCTAGTTAATATTAACTTACTAATTCCATTAATCAATCTTATAAATTAATTTTACAAGTTTATTGACGGTATTCATTTCCTTAAATTTCCCCTATATACATACAATAGTTAGTTATAATTAACATCTTTCTAATAGATAAGTACTTCCGTTCTACTCAGAAATAATGTATTGAATTATGTTTAACAGAATCATACTATACGTTGGTTTGTATATTGTTCAAATTGATTTATTATAATGATTTGGAAGAATTTTTACCGCTCAATTGATAAGTCCTGAAGAAATGAATGAATCAATGAGTCAATGAATCGGTCATCTTTTGTAAGCATTTTAAGCGGCATACCTTTGACAATAAAGAGAGAAGTATTCATAATGTATTTACTGCTAAGTTTGAAGCTACTTTCTTTTATGTATACAGTATAGTGAAACGGAAATGAATGACGGTTTAAAAAACATCTTATGGTCAATCGCAATGATTTGTGCAGTTTAGCAGAAATTATAAGTTGTAAATAATGGGTATTGATCAGTGTCATATATGTCAAGTCATTCGTAGTTCAGATCGAAATCTATCGACCAAGTTGCAATGTGGCCATCAGTCTATATGACTCGACATCAAATGCACTATGTTGAGATGAGATGTTGGTTGGGGGTAGCCGACAGGAAACCCTGGACATAGATTTCGAGATATTTGGCACTCGTTTGCGAGGTGGAACAAGAAAGGACCTAACACACATAAGATTGATTACTACCCAATTATCAATCAATTGGAAATACATCTCAGTCCTACAGGAGACCAGTCGCGGTGCGGATAGCTCAGTGGTAATGTCTCTGAATGTGAAGCTAGGTGACACGGGATCAAAGTATCAGCTCCCTCAATATTACAGATACACCTTGCTGACGAGTGTCGGATATCATGAAAACCTAGCCACCATCTAATGAAAAATATCTTTTTGCAAATTAAATCTAGATTACCATATAAAGAGTAATAATAATAAAATGCATTATTATTAATTCGGCTCCTTGAGAAACGAAATATTTGTCCAAGTAGCAATTAATCGATAAGGGGTTTTTAAGATCGAACATATTGATATTTTGTATAAGAAGTGTACTCCCATTTTGTATTGACTTGAATCAGAAACCTTCTTATTTATAAAACTAACTATTGTATCCATAAATTGACCAGATCCGGTAAGCATCAGTCGTGCACAAACAAAATCGAGACATTACGAATCATCGTTGAACAGTCAGTTGAATGAAACTCGTCACCATACGTCAACTTCCTTGACTATGAGAACGAGTTTGACAGTGTGGATAAGAGGACTTTGTGGAACCTTCTTTGATACTATAGTGTCGTTGAGAGGATCGTCAACATCATACGGAATTCATACGACAAACTACAGTTAAACGTCGTGCTTAGAAGACAGCTGACTGATACTCAAGTTACTCAACGTCCGTTGGTAGAATACCATCAGCAACAACCTGCTGTAAGAGAGGACAAACCAGCTTCGAGCTAAAGAGGAAATTAGGAAAAGACGTTGGAAGTGGATAAGACATACATTATGGAACTCAGACTGCATCACGAGGCAAGCGCTAACCTGTAATCTTGAAGGAAAATGGAAAAGAGAAAGACCGAAGAACACATTACGTCGGGAATTGAAAGTAGGCAAGCAAAAAATGAGTAGTAACTAAAAACAACTGGAAAGGATTGTCCAGGATAGGGTTGAATGAAGAGTGCTGGTAGGCGGCCTTTGATCTTTCACGAGGGTTAACAGGCGTAAGTAAGTATGGTGGAAGAAGAAAAGTTTGGCTCATAGTTTATTAATCATAATAGTTGGTTTTTCAGGACACATACCTACGATTATCAGTTAAAACACCATTAAGAATTCTGGTTAGAAATCTAACCAACAACTCAGTGATATAGTCTCATTGATTACTTGGTAAACGTGTCTAAATATCAATTATCGAGAAAATAGTTTTTCTAACAGATAACCTTATAGTTTACCATTTAATTCTGACTTGGTAATCAGATCCAATGGTATGAACTGTAATCATTTATTTGTCCTGAACTATATCATCAACGCCTATGTCATAGTTGATACTGCATAGATTTCTAAAATATTTTATCAATAGCAACTTATCATAAATAAATGAGTTTACTGTCTTGAGTAATCTTCCTATTGAATTATCATAAATAGGATTGGTGTTACATACTACTTATATCATTCAATATAAGTAGCATAAACTACAGTAAGTGTATCATATCTTCAATATCGTTCTTGTTTTGTAGTTTGCTTTTTATATAGTTTTGAACTTAGCGCATGATTTAAATGAGTCAGTACGCACAAAATTCAGTGTACTAACATTTAATTTCCATGCAAATATTTATGTACTTTCTTTTTACCATTATTATGAACATGTATTTGTCAACATGAAACACATGATTTACACGTTTGGATTATCGATTTATACAATGAATACTGTTAGTATACTCTGTATATGGTCTTATTTATCTAATCACAATTAAAGAGATTGATTATTAGATGAGATTTATTTCTAAATGGAGTAGGGTTCATAAACGATAGCAAATATATATGGTATAATTTGGAAATAGGTAAGTCTGATTAAAAATGATTATCAGAATGAGGATTTGTGGAGGACGAAACAGTCATCCAGTGTTTACAGGTTTTCAATGATGGTCTAATTTAGATCGACTCATGAATTAAAGTATTAAAAATTATCTATCAAACCAATGGTGAGTTTAAACAAACATGGTTCATAATTGAGCTAAATGAATTTATCAGGGATTTTCGGGAACTATGCAACATGAAACACAGAAAAAGGTTTAAAGATTAATAAGGAAATAGCTTTGAAAAATCTATTTTAAGGTTATCAACCAATTAATCAACTTAAAACAATAATTCGCATGAATTCAGGTTCTGCGTGATAATTCTTATTGTCATCATCATCATCATCATCATCATCATCATCATCATCATCATCATCATCATCATCATCATCATCATCATCATCATCATCATCATCATCATCATCATCATCATCATCATCATCATCATCATCATCATCATCATCATCATCATCATCCATCATCATCATCATCATCATCATCATCATCATCATCATCATCATCATCATCATCATCATCATCATCATCATCATCATCATCATCATCATCATCATCATCATCATCATCATCATCATCATCATCATCATCATCATCATCATCATCATCATCATCATCATCATCATCATCATCATCATCATCATCATCATCATCATCATCATCATCATCATCATCATCATCATCATCATCATCATCATCATCATCATCATCATCATCATCATCATCATCATCATCATCATCATCATCATCATCATCATCATCATCATCATCATCATCATCATCATCATCATCATCATCATCATCATCATCATCATCATCATCATCATCATCATCATCATCATCATCATCATCATCATCATCATCATCATCATCATCATCATCATCATCATCATCATCATCATCATCATCATCATCATCATCATCATCATCATCATCATCATCATCATCATCATCATCATCATCATCATCATCATCATCATCATCATCATCATCATCATCATCATCATCATCATCATCATCATCATCATCATCATCATCATCATCATCATCATCATCATCATCATCATCATCATCATCATCATCATCATCATCATCATCATCATCATCATCATCATCATCATCATCATCATCATCATCATCATCATCATCATCATCATCATCATCATCATCATCATCATCATCATCATCATCATCATCATCATCATCATCATCATCATCATCATCATCATCATCATCATCATCATCATCATCATCATCATCATCATCATCATCATCATCATCATCATCATCATCATCATCATCATCATCATCATCATCATCATCATCATCATCATCATCATCATCATCATCATCATCATCATCATCATCATCATCATCATCATCATCATCATCATCATCATCATCATCATCATCATCATCATCATCATCATCATCATCATCATCATCATCATCATCATCATCATCATCATCATCATCATCATCATCATCATCATCATCATCATCATCATCATCATCATCATCATCATCATCATCATCATCATCATCATCATCATCATCATCATCATCATCATCATCATCATCATCATCATCATCATCATCATCATCATCATCATCATCATCATCATCATCATCATCATCATCATCATCATCATCATCATCATCATCATCATCATCATCATCATCATCATCATCATCATCATCATCATCATCATCATCATCATCATCATCATCATCATCATCATCATCATCATCATCATCATCATCATCATCATCATCATCATCATCATCATCATCATCATCATCATCATCATCATCATCATCATCATCATCATCATCATCATCATCATCATCATCATCATCATCATCATCATCATCATCATCATCATCATCATCATCATCATCATCATCATCATCATCATCATCATCATCATCATCATCATCATCATCATCATCATCATCATCATCATCATCATCATCATCATCATCATCATCATCATCATCATCATCATCATCATCATCATCATCATCATCATCTCATCATCATCATCATCATCATCATCATCATCATCATCATCATCATCATCATCATCATCATCATCATCATCATCATCATCATCATCATCATCATCATCATCATCATCATCATCATCATCATCATCATCATCATCATCATCATCATCATCATCATCATCATCATCATCATCATCATCATCATCATCATCATCATCATCATCATCATCATCATCATCATCATCATCATCATCATCATCATCATCATCATCATCATCATCATCATCATCATCATCATCATCATCATCATCATCATCATCATCATCATCATCATCATCATCATCATCATCATCATCATCATCATCATCATCATCATCATCATCATCATCATCATCATCATCATCATCATCATCATCATCATCATCATCATCATCATCATCATCATCATCATCATCATCATCATCATCATCATCATCATCATCATCATCATCATCATCATCATCATCATCATCATCATCATCATCATCATCATCATCATCATCATCATCATCATCATCATCATCATCATCATCATCATCATCATCATCATCATCATCATCATCATCATCATCATCATCATCATCATCATCATCATCATCATCATCATCATCATCATCATCATCATCATCATCATCATCATCATCATCATCATCATCATCATCATCATCATCATCATCATCATCATCATCATCATCATCATCATCATCATCATCATCATCATCATCATCATCATCATCATCATCATCATCATCATCATCATCATCATCATCATCATCATCATCATCATCATCATCATCATCATCATCATCAATCTCCTTTCTAATAAATAGCAATCAGTTTTGTTGAATAGTAGGTACTTATTTCAGTTTTGAATTATTTATAACATGTATGGTAATTCAACTTATGTTGGTTGAAAATTGACCAGTAATTATAATAATTATAATAATAGGAGTTCTGAGTATAAGCTGTAAACAAATCTATGTTTTCAATGTACGGATTTTGGTTCACGCATATATTTATGATTTATAAACACAATTATGCTAAATTTTCGAAGTCAGAGGAAACAACCAACTATTCATGTTTGGAAACGATTGTTATTCACAGAACAAGGTAATTCTATCGATTTGATATAATTTAATTCAATCCATTCAACATTAAAATTAGAGATGCTTCTAAAGGGGATCTGCGCTAAGAATGTTCACAGAACATAACGCTAACAATTTTTACAAGCAATTAAGTCTATTCTAACATATCTTTTATCACTGAGTATATTGATGTTTAACAAATGTAGGAAGAAAAACGTTTTAAGTGAATTTCTAAGCGCAAAGTTACACAGGTTATTTATTAAGCTCTATTTGACCCATCGTTTTATCAGTCAGTTTGCATATAACACGATTATCATTCAGTGCTGTCAAGGACAGTTGCCTTACTTTTCATTGGAATTATGAACCCATGTCAGTTAAACCACCATTAAAACCTGGAAGTACCGAGAGAGCATTTGGTAGTAGTATGGAACTCTTCAGGAGTGAGCATCCACGACCCAGTATACAGGAATCGAACTAAGGAACTTCAATGCTGTCTGCGATCGATTAACCTGTGGACCATCGAGATGACATACAACGGTTTTAAAATCGGAATGCAATTAATTTGCGAAACTCTTCGACTACCTTCCATTGTCATCGGTGGGTAACCATTTACATCCAATACGGTTTTAGTCGCACTGGTCGTAGTTCCCCACTAGAATTCTTAAAATTTCCTTTCAATACTATATCTTTGATATGATTTATATTTTAACTGATGGCTCCATAGTTTACATTTACATCATTCTGTTTTTAAAAAGACTCATGAGAAACATTATTAAAAATTAAAAACGGATGACCACATTGCCACGGTTACCACTATACGTATATCATACTTTCAGAATGCGATTAATCCTAAGACCATTCACTGGTTATCAATAAAAATCACGTAAAGTAAAAAGAAAACCAATTTGACCAATAAAATGAATAGAATATGTATAATACTATAATTCTATATATAATAACCCTAATATAAATTATTAAACACTAATAACAACTAACTGACCATTGAAATTTACCCGCAAGACATATCACTAGCATCCAAAAAATAATATGATCAATTCATTTGAATTTACTCAATTTAAGACAGAGCATAACAATCTACCAATTTCCAGTACAATTCATTTCTGTTTCCAAATTGGTATCAGAAGGTGTTTTGTAGAGATTGTAGTAATCTCAGTAGTTGAGATCATGAGTCAATTGAAGCTAGATCACCATAGAAAATCTGGAAGCACTGGACGGCTGTTTCGTTCTACTGTGAGACTACTCGGCAGTGCGCATCCACAAACCCGCCTCCCACGACATTCGAACCCAGGACCTATCAGTCTTGCGCACGAACGCTTGACCTCCATAACACTGAGCCGAACGGCATCCAACGGTGTTAATGTCTAACTCCAATCAATCCATGAGATTGAGCGACATATCTATCACTGTCATCAGTAAGTTATTATCTTACAACTGACCTGGTTGGACTCCACTGCTTCACTGATTCTCACTAGAACTCTAGGAAATACCTCTTGAAGCTAGTCAATAATAAGCATTTATTCATGAATATCAGAAGAGGGATTTTGTGAAGATTGTAACAATTTCAATGGTTTGAGATCATGAATCAACTGAAGCAAACCTAGAAGCACTGGACAACTGTTTCATCCTATTGTAGGACTCCTCACCAGTGCGCATCAACGAACCTACCAAATTGACATATACTGTACAGTTTACTGACATTAGATTACATAATATTGAAATGACCTATATTTGATTTCATATTCACAATAATAAAACTATCAAAATAAACTGATTATGTAATCGATCAGTAAAAAAAATTGATTTTTCATTTTTTCTTTTTTTGTTTGGAAAAACATTAATTAATATTGTATTTACACCCCATATAGTGTAAATTAAATTTATTGGGTCACTGAATTGAATTAATCATTATCTTTTAGGTTACTAACTGATGAGCTCAATAAAGAGAACAAAAAAATCAATAAGAATCAATAAAATGATATTTAGGTTTGTTATTATTATTCTTTTTGTCGTTGTTGTTGTTGTGACAAATAAAACATTACAAGTGTAATTTTCTGTAGTTTACAAAACGTGTAAAAGTGTAACACCCCCCCCCCACACACACAAAAGAGAGTTAAAACGATAGTGTTTAATGTATATAATAATTTTTTCTGGTTAGCGTTTTTTTTAGTGAGTTAGTTTTCTACGGGATCGGGTTGCTAACTCCATGTCCAACCCTCCTCCTTTATCCGGGCTTAGGACCGGCAGTAGCCCTCGGAGGGTTACTGTATATAATACTTAAATCAATCCTATTTCTAAATTTTGATCCTGATAATTTATTTCATATTCATGATCCTTAATCTTGAAACCATGAAACTTTTAGTGTTCATAACTATAACTGGGATCAATTTATGATTTTAATGAAATCTAACAATGTTCACAATTATTATAAACAAAGATGATGGTAGGTATCATTATCAAGGTTTGATTTGATAATTTCGAATAAATTGAACATTGACTAGATTGTTATAAATTAACTAATAGAATTGTAATATCTCAATAATTAGAAAAATTAGATTTTCTGACGTTTGGTGACTTAATGTAAGTCACTTCTTCAGAGGATAAATAATCAGATCAAAATGAATACAAGTTTAAATAGTACAACAGAACAACAACAATATTATAATGATGATAACTAGCGGTAGAATTTAAGACACACATTTGGGACATTTCATAACTGCATATTGAAAATATAAGGATTTCTAAAAATTTATATTCATTATAAAGGTTTAACGTGATAAATAATCTATACCTATATGAATGAATTTATGTGTTGCTATGCAATTATTCAACATGTATTCATATTTTTTGATATTACTGTTATTTTCAAAGATAGATAGTGACTAGTAGTGGAATCCAGGATGCACGTTTCGTCCCATCTGGGACACATCAGCTGGATGTACCTGCATCTTAGAGTTGATATTCACTCTGGAACTCGAACCTAGTGCCATACACTTCAAACACCATCGCATTTTCCACTTAGCAACTGAGTCCTGATAGCCACCTGCTTGTGTAATGGGGTGAAACATAAATTCACTGATTAATTGTAGCCTTAAACATTAATAGGAAGATTCAAATAAACAATACTAAGTAAATTTTACTATTATTTTCTTATCAGAAAGGCTTTTGTGGATATTATAGTAATTTCGATGGTTGAGATCATTAGATAATTGAAGCTAGATCACCATGGAAAACCTGGAAGCACTGGATGGCCGTTTCGTCCTATTGTAGGAGTCTTCAACAGTGCGAATCTGATATGAATTAACATATGCTCACTAGTGACTGACTTCGAGAGGTATATACTGGAGTTCTAGAAAGAAGCAGTGATTAGTGGAGTTCAACCGTGTCTGTTGTGAGATAGTAACTCACTGATCACAATGGTGGATGTGTCGTTTAACTTCGTATATTAGGTGAAGTTAGACATTAACAACGTTGGATGCCGTCCAGCTCAGTGGTCTAGATGTTAAGCGTTCGTGTGCGAGACTGATATGCCCTGAGTTCGAATCTCGCTTGTGGGAGCGGGATCGTGAATGCGCACTGGTGAGGAGTCCTAGAGTAGGACGAGACGGCCGTCCAGTGATTCCAGATTTTCTATGGTGATCTAGCTTCAATTGACTCATGATCTCAAGTATTGTAATTGGTATTTTCTTATTGATAAACTATCCATTTACATAGTATTTTTTTCTGTTTGGTCAATAACTAGGTGAAAATACTCCAAGACTGGTATAAGCTCATCCTTATACTATAATATATACATATACTCTTATCAAAATTTCTTGGCATAATTTGTTCCATTTATAATCTTACGTCATAAATGATTGATTAGCTAAATTTACTTAAAAGAATATTAATCTAATAATTTATATGTATATGAAATACAATATAGTGATTTATTATATCTCTTTGATAATGGTCATAATCAAGAACACATTTACTTAATGCTTAAGATTATTGATATGATCAGCGATATTACTGCTAGTGTTGAAGCTATCACGAATTTACTTAATGTGCGAATGAGAACAAAGACTCGGTGACCAAAGACCAGTTAGCTAGCTATTGATGCGTCCCAGCCCCGCTAACTAGAGGGAGAAGTCCAAGCTTGGAATGGGAAGTATATTCTGCAAACAGCCAGAAATCAGCGATAACAACAAACACAATTCAAAAGGTATATATGCAGCACAAAACCGTCCTTGTGAAGAGTTACCTAATAGCATACTAAAAGACGCAATGGACTAATAGCATTTAAGATATATCCCAGTGGGAAATACGACATGAAAGTGATAAGAGTGCCTTTGGCGCGAAAACAAAGAAATTCGAATCTTCTAAATAAAATTACAAAATTAGGTCCTTTCTGAAGTGAGTTTTGGGGACCTTACGTCCCCAAAAGTTCAGTCAGTCAGCTACAACGTAAGACCAGGTACATATATGCATCGGTCCAAGTTGCCATACCTCATTAACACAACAAGATGGACACCGGATTCAGAGAAGTAGTTAATTCAGTGGTGGTAATATATAAAACAAAGATTGCATATAAGGATATAGTAAAGGAAGAAAGAATTAGTTCGTAGAAAGAAAGATATGAAGCGATTTTATTCTCTTAGTTTAAGGGAAGACAGAGAGTGTATACACCGACGCCATTGTGATCGATTCTGAGCCATGTCACCTACAGCCTCCAACCATT